TTACAGGTTCATAAAGAAAGAAATAATTTTACAAGTGGGGGAGAGAATATTTAAGGCGCGCTTAGGCGGTTTTTCAGCGTAACAGCCATTCTCGCGGGGCGGTGGAAGGGGGAATTCCTCGAAAGTTAAGTCGGTAATTCTATCTCGCCGCGCGACGTATAAATCTAACAGCTAGTTTCTCGAGCGAGTTAGCCAAGTTCCCAATTTGTGTAACATTTCTGCGTATAGCTGCGCAACAAGTTTTAATCGCCATCTAACACATACCGTCGGAGACTGCGATCCCTTCTCGTTCTCGTCGAAATTCCGCGAAGTAATAGCGCACCAATACCCGAAACGATGATATCAATGGGTAACAAGCTGGACATACGTTAGCCAGGCGTCCTTTAATTCGCTGCTCGTCAATTAAAATTCATTGCTTCTCCTAAGTAGACAACTATTTTTTAAATTCGATGACGACACGATCCATGAATTTTTGAAACTCAAATTCAATTCAATTAAATTCCTTGGAAAAATATAAAAATGAAATTTTTCCAAGTATGTAGAATATTTTTCCAAGAATGTACCGATTACTAAATTTCATGCATAAAATAAACACGCTGCTTTCTGTCATGAAATCTCTTTTTTATTCTTTATTTTCCATTAAATATGATCACCGTAGATACATCTTTTTAGAAAAGATTCTTTTCCGCGAAACCCTAGTCCCTACGATATTCAAAAGGATTTCCTCCGCGAAACTTTTTCGATTTATCACCGAGGGTTTCATCGCGCTGCTCGCATTGCTACCCCTGGGATAAAAGCGGCAGGAATGCTGCAACTTTCGAAGAGCAAATAGATTCCATACTAGGATTAGAAGTTCAGTGAAACAAAGTGCATAATCTGCTGCATTAAAAATCAAAGTGAGGGTAGATCGTGTGGTCGACTGTGAACGAAACGCAGATATTCAATAAAACGATGCATAATTAATTGAATTAAAGAGTGAGTACATTTTCAATCTGCCTGGTAATCACGATTAACACTAGAAAGACTGAAACTTAGTATATACCTATATTGCCCAAAGCAGTAAAAATGACTGCATTGTGAAAGAATAATGTGTAAAGAAATTTGTCTAAAATTAATTTTTAATATTTTTTATATTATTTACAGTCATATAACAAGTTATTAGTAAATGTTAACAATAAAAAAAATTTACTTCACTTGGGAAAAAAAATAATTTATGCATTATTATTTGTACATTTGCCCAAAAGCAGTCAAAATTACTTCCTTGGGCAATCTAGTGTTAAATGCTGGTATTAAAAATGCAAGAAACAAAATGCACAATGCTTGTCTTACTAAAACGTGTCAGGTGAGGAAATAATTGGATAATGCGCTTGATTTCGATAAATAAAAATATCACCGACCGACCGAAATGTTTCCATGGAATAATTAATCATTGCTGACGATGAATACTTTTTTGCGTTGCATTGAAACGCTGGTAATGAACGCGATGGTAAATTCGTGTCGATAGTTGTACACGCTTGTTCATACGTTATTATGATTTTGAATCGGCAAATATTTGTTCGCCGCTCGTTTTCCGGTTTTCGTACGGCTTTAATTAGCTCTCATGTCTCGAAATATTAATGGTAAATGGCGTTACGAGCATCGAACGCGGAACACCTGCCACCTCCACGATTAATTAATTCGCGAACAGTAAACGAGTCTAGACGTCTATTTGTTTCAAGTCGGCTAACGATCAGTCATCATGTTGTACGTTGCAGAACAGAATCTGGTCTTGCGTTCGATACCGCAAACAATGATTATTCGTAATTCATTCTATTGAAATCGTTGATTAAATCAAATATTCTAGCCCAATGAATCTCGTCATTGCACGCTCGATGCAACATTTTCAGCTGCCTTTCGCGATCATTCTTTTGAATAAATAAGAGACATAATTTCGACATTCTTCCCAAGCTCTGAACCCGAAGGACTGAAGTCGTCCAATGAGAAACGTGAAAAGTCGAACATTTCTAGGAATTACAATATCGGGTTAACTCGTTCTATTAATTATGCCACTAATTAATTGAATAAGTGTCGCGCGAGCTTGACCGCGGCGAAATGAATTGGTAGCAAATGAAATTGCACAAAAGGGAAAAGAAACACAGGCGTGGCCCGTGGGGCCAGACGTTCCCATTGCCGCAAACTGGTGTCCCGTGGGAAATTATAAATAGAAGGTAATACCTAGCTCGAACCAGCGTAGCCTGACATCGCTCTGTAGCTAATATAAATAGTTGAACCCCACCTGGCAATTTGTACAAGCGAATTATCGCCGAGCTCTTTGGAATCCTTAACCATCTGCCGATCGTTGGTATTTCGATAACGTCGATTCCGGTGGCTAGTCCAATTTTTTCGGGAGCGAAGGGTGAGGGAACGGGAAAGGGTACAGAATTCAATGTATGAACATCGAAATGCAATTACATGGTAGTAGATAACGGTTGCGCAAATATTTCTTCCCGTTTCTATCTACTACAGCAATAATGGTTCCGAACGCAAACAGAGGCTAAAAACCATACGAACGACGAGATAAGAGATAAAGCGTGGAATTCACGGCGCCCAAAACAATTACGGTGGAAGGTTGGAAAAATGAAAAGCGCGTACGAGGGAGGGAACGGAATCCCGAAGGAGAAAAAGCAGCGGGTCGTAAACAACCCGACGGAATCTTACGCCGCGCGGAAAGGAAAGGATAATGCGTGAATAGAAGACAAGCCGTGTTTTTGAATCCAACATAGGCACTCCGAGCAACGGGTAAAGCGAAGAGAGATCTGCGCGCAAAGATCAGATTTACGTGGCCAGCATACATCTTTGTCCAAAAGGTTTATCAAGAAATCTGACAAATATTCTATTTTAGTTAAAAGATTATAGTAAATCATTAAATAATTCACATACCAACGTGCAACAAATAATATAACAGATCATACAATGTACAATAATACAATTATACAATAAATAAAATTGTACTGCAAGTAAAAAATGAATAACAATTTTCATTATTTATTTTCTCAACCTAATTCCTAATTGCAATGTCTTACTCGGTTATGTGTTTTATAATCCGTCCCAAGGCTTATGAACAAACGTGTACAACCGTGGAAGCGGTACACCTAATAAATTTCTCGAGATTCGAGGAACTCGTGATGTCAGTGATGCGTCTCGACAGTGCAAGACTCACTGGTCAAAGCGCAACCTGGCAAGTGGCACCGCAGACTCTCCCATCCGCTGCCACTTGTTTCGACCGTGCTTGAAAATTTCAATTGCCGTTTAAGAGAAATGAAATTGCCATTAAAAAAGCATATACTATTTAAATGAGAACTATAGTACGAAGAGAAATTTATAATAACGCGCGGGTGGAAAAAAAGTATCGCGATTTAATCGTAAGCGGTGAATAATTTCGTTTTCGCCGGGGAACTCTCAGAACGCAGCTTTTTTTCTCGGCATGGTAAAACGGCGAAGGAAACGGTCTTCCGGCGCTAATATTTGCTAATGAAATTTGCGAGTACCACGGACAGGTGGCTTGGTTACGGCCGTCGGTCATGACTCAATTCATATAGCACGGGACGCGAGAAAAAAAGAGAATCCAGATGCAAATTAACGGTCCGACGGCGAGACAAAATAACGGGCGTCTGGTTGATTAAATTGTTCTCGAAATGAGAAATGTATGGGAAGAATGTTCTTCATCCGGGAATATTTCCACTGACCAATTGTTCTAATAAACTGCGGATAATAAATGTTAACAACAAAATCTATACATGAGAGCAAATCTTAAATTTTATGATCTGACGTCCAAAAGCTTTCCTATTTTCAATCGTTCTGAATTTATAATATTCATATGTTTGCTTGAATAAGTGATGGTCCTACTAGACTATAGAGAAAAAGTATGAGAAATGAAAACCGCGGAAAGGAAATGTGATCCGGCACGCAAAAGCTTTAAGATTCTAAATAATTAAAATGCAGTCGGTAAATAGAAAGAAAGAAAATGTCCGACCGTATCATGAATCTCTAAATCAAGCTCCTTTGAAACGGAGCCTTTATGAATCTTGTCGTCTGCATTCGCTGTTGACAAGAGGGCGGGAAATGCTTGTTTCCTTTCAAGTCCCTCTTCTTTCAGAAGAAAGCTCGCGATATTAGTCTAGCGTAAAAAGAATTACGTAAAAAAAATATTATACAAGGAATTAGAGAGGACTGAAAGGACGCCGCGGTTTTCATTCGACGCGATCGCGATATTTTTCCCGGTGGTTTCAAACATGAATTCATGCGGGCTAGTTTTCGGCGATGGCCTTTCGAGTAAAGCGGGCACGCAAGTCGATGACAAATTCACTTAACGGTTCGAGTGGAATCCGGTTTCGTTTGTGCGTCGGCCGCTGTCAAACTCGAATCTGCGTTGACAGCCTGGAAAAAACGGACGGGAAAAATAGAAGAAATGTGAAAACGTGGGGTTGATCCGCGTTTTTCGCTGAGTTTTACAGGCTCTCGTCCACTCTCGCTCTCCCTCGCGAGAGAGACAGCAGTTTCCTCGTTCGATTGCCTTAAACTATTTCCCAACGAATTATCCCCAGGCTCGCAACGAAAATTACTCTCGCGGGAAAAAACCTATTGCCGATGGAAATTTTCGGAATGCAATTCCGAAGGATTACGCGCGGACACGAATGTTAACGAATGTTAAATCGACTAGCAAGTATTCTCGCCTGGCAATCAAATCAATCCCGACAACTGCTGTTGACGATAAGATCCTCGCTGTCGAATTCACCGAGACGATTTATCGCGTGAAACATTTGTTCTGGCTTGCTTTATACAAACATTAACATAGCGAATACACGTATTAAAAAATGATTCGGCTTCATAGAACTTAGGTTCATACCGGGGAAGAACAAACTATCCCAAATTCATATGGATAAGACTCAAACCACTTTTCTTGGATCGTGGCTCGGAAATGGCAGTCAATAACGAGTTTTGTTGGTCGATTTATGTTACAGTCACTGGGACGGCCGCGGAAGCCACACGCGAGAGGGAGGAATCATTGCGGAGCAGCAACCGGAGTTTATCCTGGTGGTCGGCCAGCACGGAACGGGCCGCGGGGGAGACGAAATCCATCGAGAAATTCCGTCAGACAACTTCCTGGCACGCGGACGGTCTCACCAGCCCCGGGGCACGAGTCGCCGTGGAATTGGTAGGACAGGTCAGCCCGGAGGAGATGGAGATGACGACGTCGCGCACGGAAAATGACGAAGGAAAAGCGAAGATCTCTGGCACTGCCCCGAACACGAGGCGGATGATAAATCTATCCGCCCCGCGGTCGTTTATCCAGTCGACGCCAGAAGCATCCAGCCTCATGGAAAACTCTTCCACTGGAGATTTTGACAACGTAAGTCGTGTATCAGATTTCACCTGTTAACCTCAGTCGCTTCGACTTTCGATAAGGAATTCGTATTATAGCAATCATAAAATGATACGTGAATACAAGTAAAAAATTGGATTATTATTAATAATCCGTCATTAGTCCGGCATAGCAAATCGTCCTGTTATCAGAATTTTTTCTAAACGATAATTAATGGATTGATAATCAGTTAATGCGAATTGTGTGATGCATTTTCCACGTGACCGATAATGTCGCAGCCAGATAACTATGCATAATTTAGTGCTGTCGCGACACGGCCTAGAGCGACGTTGAGTCCTCATTTAATTACGCACCTGGGTATTAGAGGATTATTGCTCATTCCATAGATTTTCGATTGTTTCATATTAAACTGCGAATTTTATGCATTCATAGCAAAAATTGTATTATTAAATTGCTTGCCATGTATAAAAGCTTGCAAGCTTTTGATGAAAAGTTTCTACCTGAATTTTTAAAACTTACATAAACGTTTTATTTTATTTTTATAAAAGTTATGACGTTACACGTTTTAAATGCGACTAATTATCACGAGATTTGTAAATGTGTGTGCAGATAGTGACGACGCGGGAAGCCGGTTGGAAAACCGGAAAGACCGTCAGCACGACGCCGAACCCGTTTATCGCGAGGGACGTGATACGACGTCAGATGAGACATGTTCCAGACGCGTGTGAGAAATTCACGGTGGGGGACGAGGCCAAGCAAGAATTTTATAGCCCGAATTATCCGGATAACTATCCGAACTTCACCGAGTGCACGAGGGTTTTGGAAGGTGGGTCAATCTCCATTCTTTAAGTCAAAAAAGTGAACCTTGGATTATCCTAAGACGTTCAAGCTACCTCGCGATTCTCCCGACGTTGAATACTTAAAAATCTTTAAATTCTTGGGTACTGTATATATGTAGGTGGAAAAATCGCCTTGCAAAACCAGCTCCGAGCGGGCGTTCTGCATTCGCGGCACGAAGCATCGGGGAAACGGTCCTTTACATCAAAGGGAATAAATTTATTGTTGAACCCGGTCCCCACTTATCTCGCCTAACTCGAGAAATTAACTCGGCTACGGTAACTGCGCGCGTCGCCTGACTCCGACTCCATTCGTATGTATGTAGAAGCTGGCTCTCGTCGCAACTCGTGGTCTGCGGAAGAAAGTTTGCGAATTCCGGGCAGCAAAGCTCGACGCTATAGCCAACGGTTCGACGATTCGCGAAAGAATTCCGGAGAATTTTTCATCGAAGTACAATAGAGACGCGAACAATTTTTTCCTCCCCCGCGGATACAAACACGGCGACGAATTGCTAATAAACGAGCAGCAGATGAAATTAATAGCCCTCGGGTGGTGTATCGTCAACGAATGCCGATTCCCTGCTTAATGGAAACGCATTACGGTCCGCGACAAGCAAACAACAACCGATGCTCTTACCCGTTCTCGACGTTCCCGTCGACGCGACGCGACGCCCAGAGAAGAGTAATTGCATAAAACGATCCGACGAATGCGGGTCGAAATAATAAATCATGACCGGGGTCCGTGCGCGTTCCACCTAACCGTGGTCGCGCGCCTCGATAACGAATCGATAAATCTTGGGATGGGGCGACTGGAAACCGATTCGCCTCCCGAGAAATATTTCATCGAACTGCAAAAACTGATTCCTCCAAGATGATCGAGTACCTTTTTCTTTTGACTTCATGATTAGGAATACTTGAGTCAAATATCCGGGGTGAGTCAATAAAAACTGTCATCTAAAATCGCTAAAAAAGCTTCGAGAGGGCGAATAAAATTTTCATACACCGAGTTTCGTCAAATACTAAATTCAATGAGATTAAAGGAGTATCAATTATTTTATGCCTAAATCTTACTGTCCAAACTAAAAGGTAGGAAGTAGTAGGGAAATAGAGAAATTATTCTCTCTTCAAGCTTATTTAGATCAAAACATTTGAAAATGCGTCGGATTAGGCAAACGAGGACAGCTGGGTCGTGCTCGAAATTGAGTCAGGGTCGGCGAGGCTGTACACCGAAATCTTCTTCTGATGAACGAAAATAGTATCCACGATCGCTGGTCCTCGGCCGAGTTTTGGAAACGATAGATCCGAATCGCGCGCGCACGTTCGTAAAACGGGGAACTAAAAAAATATTAACACTAGATTGCCCAAGGAAGTCATTTTGACTGCTTTTGAGCAAATGTACAAATAATAATGCATAAATTATTTTTTTAAGGTATATACTAAGTTTCAATCTTTCTAGTGTTAAACAACTTGTTCCGAATGTATTTTTCAAATAAAATAATGCGTCGCGGAACGGGTCACGACTGAGTAGCTCATAAATCATACGCAATCAGATATCGATGCCTTATTTTTCCTCGGCTTTACGTGATACTCGTGGGTTACTAAGCTGTCCCGAGCTTGAATTGTTACAACGTGCGCTGAATACGTGCTTAAAAGTATACATTTTCCCCGATAATATTCTTTCCTCCGCGGTTGGGGTCCGATAAGCGGCAAGAGAGCTACAATTGCTCTACGCCCTGATAAGAAAACGGTTCCGCACGTGAAATCGTCCTCTTAACGCCGTACTTAGGGAAACTGCATCGTGAAAGATCTTTAATTCGAACATTAACGAATATTCTGCTATACATATCGTAATCCTCGGGAATCTAGACGACTGTAAAATTTGAGAAATCGTTGTCAGAGCATCGCCCTGGTAACCATCGAATCGAAAGAGCCTAATGGAGCATATATTGAAAGAAAAAAATGTTAACCGTCCCGCGAGATTGCATTTGGATTATCCTGCGTAATTTCTACTAGCGATCTGATAGCGCCCTTCACTAAAGAATAATGGAAAATTCCGGTGGGGACAAAGGGCTGTGTCGGGAATCGAATCTGTTCACGCTAAGTGACGAACAAGGGACTGTAACCAGTCATTAAAGAGACTGGCCCATCACAAGCCACCATTACATCCGAGCGAAGCGATTACCGCGTATTAAGCGCTGGACGTAAATTACGACACCCAATTATCCGAACCGAACGTCAATAACCTGTTACGGAATTCCAGCAAGTTTCGTCGGGTGCCATTTCGAATCGCAATGATTTCTACAAATTATGTCCACCCTTGTTGTTTCAAGTGCGTAATCGGTTGTTATTGTTGAGGACCATTCTTAGTCCCGTCGACTTCTTGGCTCAACGCTTCCAACTCGTTAAACTCAACAATTCTCGACTCGACGACGAACGGATCGTCGAAACTTTTCGAGCACCATCGACGAGGAGCACAAAGGTCAGTGTTCGAGTTGCGTTTTCGACAGAGGGTCTCCGATCAAAGTTTAATTGGAACAATCCGAAGTTAACGCCGAGAACCGGTGAAGACGAAATCGCCCAAAGCGATATAGATACGATGCGCGTTGCATCTGCGGTGGACGACTGGAATTGGTCGCAGAATTGATGAACGATCGAGGGAGAAGACTGCCCGAGCCCGTGCCCGATATAACGCGGATACCCGAGATTGCTTGTCCCCTCTATGCATGCGCGATGTAAATCTGGATTTATATGAATCTGCGCAACGAAAACGCACACAATCGCGACTAATGCTAAAATCCTGAATGCGTGTACTGATTACCGAAACAATCACGAACCAAAATTCCATAAGCGATTCGCGGGGCGTCCCGAAACCCAATTAAATATATAAGGACGATTCATCCAGCGTATCTATGAAAGATCAATAAAAACGAATCGGTGGAGTGTTGGGATCGAGTGAAATTCTCTAAGAAAGGGAATGGGTCAGGAGGGTGAAAAGTTCTGAAAACGGTAGGCGGGCGATAACGTTTCTCTCTCGACTTAAGGCGAGATCCGCTCGGCTGTGAAGCACAGATTCTGCCGGTCTCGTGACCGGTTGGAAACTGGAACGGAAAGTCGAAGTCAATGGATCTGCTATATAACGCGAACACGGTTCCCTCTCGTCTCCCACTTTTTTTTTAAATTCTTTCTTTCACCGGACTGATGCGCCCGGTGATCGGGGAGTTTCATGGCAAACGGGCCAAGTAGCCCTTCCGGGTGAATCCGGGCATCGGAAGGAGGTCCTAATTGCACGGATGGAACCTTTTTTAATTGCTGGCACACGCGGTGACACCAGTAGGTATCATTATGAAATGTGGGACAGTTTTAAGCAGGAGCTACTCGGCCACGTTAATGAGATCACAGTCGGTTGGAGGTTGAATAAGCATTCGCTTCGGATGAAACGCCGATCGAACCCACTTCCGTTCCGCGGGGTTACGGAGAGAATGGCTGGAGCAGCAGTTCGTTAAACGGATACGCTCGATCTCCCTCGAGATAACGAGACCAAAGGGCGCAACTTCTTTTCTAATTACTCCGGAAACGCGGCCTATTTATTCCATCGCGTGTCCATTCCGTTGAAAACCACGGGGCACACGGTGTCTCCACATAAATTCAGTAAAAATCAACATTATTTCAGCAAATAAATAATCCCGAACTCGCCACGAGAATTTTATCCTTGCACGACTTTAAGAGACCGTATAGAATATAATAGTCGCAAAATCCTTTCATTATTCACCGTCTAATAATCAGGAAGCCGCGAATCATCATTCTTGCTAATAAGCGGCATGATTCATGTACGACTGGTGAATTATTAGCGTAATCTCTGATTGCCTTCGGCCTGATGGGCAATCGATATCGAACGCAATGTCCGTTATCGATCTCAGTTATCCGCAGTCGAACTTTCGGCAGTTGTTGGAAGTCGAATAACGGAGACATCTTGTATCCGAGTGAAACGAGCGGAGTTCGGAGGAGAGTCAGATTGGGAAGGTTTCGATGAAAAGTTTGATCGCGCGAGAACACGAAAATGCGCTGACCCAGTAGCGATATTTCTTTTTTTTCTGCAGAATCTTTTTTAACAATTTCCTCCTCGCTGTCTCGTTACCTGTAACCACCAATTCACTGCCGACGGGCTGCAATTTAAAGCGCGTCGTCGACTTTCTTACTTGCGCCAAGTTTCGCAGAATCGCAATAAAAACTTTTTCTCGACGCGCGGCGAAAAGGTGCTTCTTGCGTTTCGCGATTTCACAATGGGCCTTCAGCATCGGCGCGCCAATGTTCTCACCGGTGAACGTAGTATCAGGTTAGAATCGACCCTCCGAAGATGTCCCACATTTTTATTAACGCCCATCCCCGCGCTCCCCTCGTATCCGGGTCGGGGACGTTCTTGTCGCGCCCGAAGTTCCGAAGGGGTTCCAGGGTGAAACTGTAGCACGGCAAAAAGTAACGAGTGAGGGAGAAAACGCTGAAGATCGTTCTGTTCGGAGAAAAGGAAGTCGTGGCTGAGTTCCAAAGTGGACGAGCAAATCAAGTTATCAACCACTCAGGAGGTAAGGGGCCATCAAAGAACCGTTTAATGCGATCCCACGTAAATCAAGAACGACCGCCCCTCTGCCGTCTCCGTGTTTCGTGGAACATCGAAATACTCTAAAGGCCCGAACGGAGGTGCGTCTCTCTGCAACGGAAGCCATTAATTGCGGCAAGACACTGCTTGTCCTTGAACCGAAATGGCGTTAAAGACCACCCACGATCTGCCTCCGCCATCGATCAACTTTCCTCTACTCGAGGAACTTCCGTACCAAACGGGAAGAAACACCTATTCAATCTACCGAGTGTACTTGCTGGCAAATCGTTTAAAATGAAATAAAAATTCGAACTTAACACTAAATAACGTAGGAGATATGAAATAACAAGATACCGAATAAAATGGAACAATCTTATAAATGAATATGGTAACGGA